CTCCCGAGAACCTTTGTCCACCTCAACTTGGAGGTATGCATCGGATAGATCAATTTTAGCGAAACAAGTTCCGCCATTCAGCTTGGCAAAAAGATCTTCCGACACGAGCAAAGGATACTGATGTTTGTCCAAAGCAGCATTGAGACCATTGGAAAAATCAGCACACATTCTGACTTTACCTGAGGTTTTCTTGAAAGCCACGACTGGTGCGGCCCATGCTGAGTAATTGACTGGCCGAAGAACGCCATCTTGTTGAAGACAATCGAGTTCTTGGTCCACCACTGCAACTGCAACGTAAGAAACCGGCCCTTTGGTCAGAAAACAGGTTTTGCGTTTGGTTGGAGACAAAGAGTGACCTTTATCTTGTTGCAGCAACCAAGACCGTCTTTAAAAACTGGAGCAAACTTCGACGGTAAGATCGACATCAGATTTGTCGCCATCTGATTTGATTTGGCGGGACTGGGCCAAGTTGACTGCACATTTGTGCAAATGCGGTTAAGTGGCAGTTCTAGGAGACCGATTTTTTCGATCTAGCCATGGCCAATTAAGTCAAGCTTCGGTCGGTTGGTAAGGTAGCTTGTCAATTTTAATTCGGCGCCATCAAAAGAGACGTCACTTTCGAGCTCACCCGTGAGCCGGAGGAATCCGCCCGAAACATTCATAGCCTTTTTGTCCAACGTGATCATCGGAGACCGTCCAATCATCTGCCAAGTGTGCTTGGAGATGAGGCTGATGTCTGATGCCGTGCACAGCTGGAGGCGTACAGGTCTGCTATTGATGGTAACCGTAAGATAGTTTCTCTGTGTCTCAAATTCAGTCTGGTATGTGGCTAGGATTGATTTGGACTTAAGGCCAGAATAAGATGAGGGGCGTATGGAACTTCTCGGCTTCCTGTCCCCTGCCCTTGATTTGAGGCTTTGGCCTATCGCACACTGGTCTACCTTATGCCCTCGTTTATGGCATCTGTGACAAACATGCTTCTTGAACGGACAGAAGCGAACGCTGATGGTGGTTATCTGGGTGTGGGATCTTAGGACATATGTGGCGAGATTGACTTCGTCCGAGTGACAGCATGAACATTGGTGGCGGCAAACGTGGAACTGGGTTGCTCCACGATCGCAGAATCATGTTCAAGATTATTGAGCCGCTGACACTCGGCCGTCAATGTCTGCAGAGTAGAGTCTGGGCCCGGTTCAATTTTGGAGAGCAGACATGTCCGGGTTTCAGCATCACGAGGTGACTGGAGGGCACTCACAAAATGAGGCCCTTGAATTGGTCATCTGTCATCTCTCGGAGCTTGAACCTTTCACACTCCAAGTTAACAATACTGGCGAGTGTCAGAAAATAATCTGTCTTGTTCTTGGGCAGCTTGAGGCACTGTTAATGGATGCTGAACAGCGAGGACTTCTCGTTGAAGATCTCTGATAGGTGGTTGACGGTTTTGTCATAACGAAGTCATGAGAGTTTTCGGCAGAATAATATCTGTGTACCGTTCGTGTTCTCAGGTGCCCAGTTTGCGTAATAGCAGGCACACCTTCCATGCATCAGCGGCCTTGGCAAATTCCACGCGGAATAGGTCTTCGCAACGTTCGAACCAAGCGCCAAACGTAACGCCGGAGTCGGGATCATAAATGAAGTCTATGATCGAAAAGTGTCATAGGAAAATTCGGCGTGCAAATGAACGCGTTACCAGGATTGATGATTCAAACTACGACTGCGGAGGAGTGCCTCTCCATTCGCTCCTAGACCTTCTCTCATTTTTTTAATTGAAAATCAGTTATTCAAAATTTATAAACTTTTTAAATTTATTCTCTTACATTCCTTAGATTCGGTAAGCGATTCATCCTGCCTGTCAAGTATTTTGCATTACATTGCTTTCCCATATATTGCGAACATTTCGTTTTTTGCCTGGTTACTTATCTAAATGATTCACTTAACCGCAGCACGAAATTAGTAAAAACGTATGACAGTTTAAACGTTTCTGCATTAACGAAGACTCGGAAACTCCAAATAGCAGCTATTGCTCATGGAAGAGGCAACGGGAAAATGTTACCAATCGGCAGTTAGCGACAGTAACCAATAGCCAACGCCGGCCGCAAATGCGCGCCATATAAAATAGGGTCGGCAACAACTGCGCCATTTGACGTGCTAATTATTGACTCTGTCTTGCATCCACGATGCAGTTAGACACTGAGACTCTTCAGGAAGTATTTAATGCACTAGACACTGAACATAAAGGCCACATAACTGTGGAGCAGTTTACCAAGGCATTGGAACAATTTTATTCTTCATCAGTTCCAAATGCTGATGTGAATTCCTCAATGCATCGAAAAAATTCGCTGGTTTGGCGAGTCTATTTAATTTCATAGTTTAGAATGTCAAAAATATTGTTAATGCCCTCGACCCCGAGAAGGATGGTATAATCTCTTTCGAGGATTTCAAGTCCGCATTTCAAGACTATTTTTCTTCGGATGGTTTGTACTTGGTTGCCTTTGAATTTTCTCTTCATAGATCCCAAATCACCCAAACGCAAAAATATGACTCTCAAACTGATGGGAAGAAGTGTTTCAATTAATCCAGAGGATTATGTTTTGAATCAGAGTGAAGGCGAGAACGATCTGCGGGTAGATTTTTTACCTAATATAATTTTCCTCTGTCAAGTAAGCGCCCTAATAACAATTCGGACTCGACTCGTTTAAGCAGATCGTGTTTAAATGTCAGTGGTTTTTTAGTCCTTACCGTTTGGATGTACTATTCCTTTCAGAGAAGATAAAAATATAAGCAACAGTAGTTAGAATTTCTTAAAAATAGGCAGCAGTCTCTTTCATAAACACAGCCAAATCTTTTGGCAACCTTGTAAGCTGTCCGAGCTCCTCTATTGCACTGTTCTGTTGTCATCGCATCTCGTTCCCCTTTTAATTCTATCAGCGTTTTAGAAAACTAATGGAACTGTAATTATTTTTATTTTCAACGTCGTTACCCATCATAGTCGACAACCGAGTGTCTTACTGTGTGTGTTTGGTCGCTTTGCCGTTCTTTCGTCCTGTGCAACTTTAACTGCCGTTTATTGCATTGCTCATCGGAATACATTCACCCACGTGTGGAAGCCCAGGCAGTGGTTCTAACAAATAATGATTTTAGCTATCAAAGTTTACTTTACTCATTACTTAATCAGTGACCAGGCATCTCACGATTTAAAAACTACGCTGTTTTGCATATCTAATGCGGTGCGATAGGCGGATTTTTAGTCGTCTTATGCCCTCATCTTGCCAAGGTTACTTGTTTTGACTTTGAAAGCCTCTTCTCCACAACCATCTGTTTACCAATTCCAATTTAGAAACTTTGTTGATAAGGGTGGGTAGTATTATTATGTGGCTGCCGTAGAGCTTACTAAATGTAGTTAATTTCTCTGAACTTTATCTTCGTGATCACTCCAAGTAGTTTATGCTTCGCGTTGTCCCTTCATTTACGGAAATGCCTACACTAGAAATAATGTGGTTTTGAAGATTAAGATAGAAGAAAACGATTTTCTTGTCTGTGATGTGAACGAACTCTTTTAATCAAACTAAAACTCGAGTTTAAATGATTTAGGTTGTATTTAATATTGCCTTTGAAAGGTGAAAGATAAAAAAAATAGAGTCTGTCAAATGAACCACCTAACTCCTGCAAAATCGATAAGCAACGTACTTTGATCTATACAATATATGAAGGAAAGAAGACAGCACATAACGAAACATAACTCTATTGGACGTTCAGAACCGTCTCTCTTTAAGAGTGGCTTGAAATTTTATTGTTGCTCACTCGTCATGCAGTATTTTTGAGGGAAACCTGTGGGATGTTGCAAATCACATTTTGAAGAATTTCGGCCTTTCATCCTACGTAAATCTTTTAGCTCGATAGTCTAATTAAAATGTCAAAATTCGTGGAGTTGGACTAAACGTTTTTAGTAGATAACTGTCTTGCTTAAATTAACATCAAAATAACTTCAAGAAAAGCAAATTTATATACCTAGAAATGTAAATATAAGTAAAATGGTAACCCTTTGAACACGTTTATTCGAGACATGATTATGATGCAACCTACTTCGGTTACTGGCAGGAAGACTATCATACTAAGGACACCGACTGCGTCTACCTTCCATTACCAAATCTGTAAGTTATTTCCATTGGCAACCACAGGGAGACCTTACCATTTATAAAATGCCAGAAAAGGTGCGAGCATTACCATCTTAGCGACCGTACAAATGAACGATTGTTTATTATTCAGCCAAAGAGACCTCTACTATGTCCGGGATATAAATAGACAATTAGCGAGCTCAGGTTACACTTAGTCATTA